GATTTCTTCGTTAATTTCCTCATCTCAGCATGAATTTCGTAAAGGGAAATCGACTCTAACAAACTTGCTTGAATTTGTAAACCATGTATCATTGGGTTTTAGGGAGCATAAGCATACGGATGTTATATACACAGACTTTAGCAAAGCTTTCGATAAAGTAAACCCTTCGATTCTCATACATAAACTTGATCTGCTGGGCTTTCAGCCAAGATTTCTTCAATGGGTAGATTCCTATCTTTATAATAGAACACAACGAGTGATATTTAAGAATACTCCTTCAGATACAATTAATAATTCTACAGGTGTTCCGCAAGGTAGTCTTCTTGGCCCGATTCTTTTCTTGTTATTTATTAACGATATCTCTTCAGTAATAGAATTCTCAAAAATTTTATTATACGCTGACGACGTAAAGCTTTTTAAATCATACACATCAACTGAGGAAAGGTGTCTGTCGCAAACAGACTTAAACAATATGGTTGCATGATGTGATAGAAAAGATTTGCCATTGAATCTGAATAAATGTAAGACGATGTGCTTTTCCCGTAGATCTGTGCTCCCCTCTTCTTATGTAATAAAACACCATATTCTGGAGCAAGTTTTTAACTATGTTGATTTGGGAGTTCTCGTCTTAAGACTTACATGTCATTGCCTGCGTCCAGGTCCCGTTTTTTAATCAGTAGTACGTTTTCTATATAATTTTTCACATTCTTCCAGTTTTCCTCGTTTGGAAGCATGACAGGTATGATGTTATCCGCATTCAGGGGGCCGACCAAAGTGTGGAGTCTATTTCGCTGCGTTGCTAATAAGTCGATGGGTGTGTTTCTTTTTATTACATATACAGCTTCGCCCGAGACTGTGCGATATGCCGATGCTACCCTTAGAGCAGCTGTGCGATACACTTTCTCGAGGGATTTGCGTCGATTATTTTTCCTCAATGTGTCTGCCCATAACTCTGCTCCGTAGAGCAAGACATTTAGTGTTGTCGACATCAAAAGTTTCCGTTTTGCCTGTCTCGGTCCTCCGATATTAGTCTGCTCAATTGACTAGTTATTATGGACGCTTTTACCGCAGCGTGTTAATTTGTACCAGGTATGTAAGCCTGGAGTCTGTTCTTACCCCCAGGTAGTTGACAACCTTTTGTGTCCGTAATGCTTCTGTTGTTGTCCTCATGTCTATTATAGTCGGAATGTGCTTCTTTGTTAGCAGTACCAGCTCGGTTTTTTCCGTGGCAAGTTTGAGACCTTTCCCATCACGTCACATTTGAGATCTGATCATCGCTTGGTTTAACTTCCTGCGCGCATCTTCGGCGTCTCTCGCAGTGATTATCGCGGCGATGTCATCTGCGTAGCCAACTAGATAGGTATCGTCGGGCATATTGGGGCTTAATATGCCGTCGTAACTGACGTTCCAGAGGTCGGGGCCGAGGATTGATCCCTGCGCAGCTCCTGACGTGGCCTTAAAGTGTCGTGGTCCTTCAGAGGTTTTATACAGTAAAACTCTGTTTTCCAAATAGCTCCTCATAATTATGCTGAGATATGTGGGTATTTTAAAGTTTTCCTCTAATGCTTCAATCATGTTTTCTCATCGAGCGCTGTTTAAGGAGTTCTGAACGTCCAGGGTAGCGAGTAAAACAACTCGTCTAAGTTTATTGCATCCTCTGTGCGCTTCTTCTACGCTCCTCACGACATTCTCAATAGCCCCCAGTATTGATTTACCAAGTCGGAAACCGTATTGCTTCGGTGATAAGCCGCCTGCGGTCGTGATTGCTTCTTCTATCCGCGGTTTCAGCATTCTCTCGAAAAGTTTACCGGCTGTGTCAAGCACGCAAAGAGGCCGGTATGCTGATGGACTATCTGGATCACCATTTCTTTTACTAATTAACACGAGCTGTTGTTTTTTCCAAATTTCTGGGAATACGCCGGCTGTGAGACAGGTATTAAACATTCCGAGTAGCACGTTTGGGCGGCTTTCGGCGATTATTTTTAGTGCCTCTGCTGTATACAATTTGGTCCGGAAGCTTTGTTGGGTTTAAGTTTTTTTGCCGCCGTTTGCAACTCTTCGATGGTGAAGAGGGGTGCGTCGTTGGGTGGTTCCGTCGGTCTTATTTTCTCGGCTCTTGTTTCATGTGTGGGAAATAAGGCATCGACGATTTTATCCATTTTATATGCGTTCAGTTGCAGGGGTGGGGCGCGACCACCTAGTTTTTTCATAACGACCTTATAAACTTGACCCCACGGGTTTATGTTTAAGTCATTCCGAAGCTCTTCCCATTTTGCTTTTCTGCTAATTTCGTTAGCCCACTTTAGTTCTTTCTTCGTGGCGTGAAGAGTATACATTTCTGTTGTTGTGTTACATCTGCGTCTGTTTCTTGTGTAAACCCGTCTTAAGTGACGGCACGCTCTTCTTAACTGAGCAATGTTCTCTGTCCACCAGTATGCAGCGCGTTTTTGTCTCCTGCTTTGGGTCCGAGGCATTCCTTTACTACATGCTTGGGTGATTAACGTCATTGTCTTCGTTTTCTCGTGAGTCCCCTATGTCGTTTTTTGGGAGGTCGTGCTTATCAATTTCTGAGATTAGTGCCTCGCTATTAAGTTTAGATACATTCCAGTTTCTCATGGTACCGTGTAATCTGTTCTGGGTGACTGCGTTTCGCGGGTCTATTCCGAAGGTTATGTACTGGTGATCACTGTAGTCCTCCATAACCTCCCAGGGCTTTACTATGCTTGCTATGCGCTCTGACGCTAGTGTGATATCTGATGTAGTTTCTTTGCAGCCTGGTCTCCTAAATATCGTTGCTGCTCCCGCGTTAAGTACCACAACGCCGAGCCTGGCGGCCATGTCAAGTATACGTTTACCTCTGGAGTCAGTATTTCGCATTCTCCATTCAATAGCGTTTGAGTTAAAATCTCCTGCTATTATAAAGTAATTTGGCTTGGAACTACTTTACTACCTTTGTAAAGTAAAATGTTATTAATAGCAAAAACAAATTACTGAAAATTCTCATTTTTTCATGCCTCTGACTACCCTTAACCCCTTAACATGTTTTACTACAACAGGGACCATGGCACCATCTTATCTTCCTAGAAGAATGGAAGTGGGTAGCGACAGCTTTTCCAGTCTTCTTGAAGGTGGTCAAAGGAAACCCTCGGTCACCTCCTGGCAGGGAGTGCCGAAAGGCACAATAAGCTTTGTGCACTTATTAGGTGGGTCAATGAACGATTGGCAGCTCTCTATACGGAGACAATCTCTCGGGTTGGAGAAGTGTGATTAGAGGGTAATAAGATAAAAGAGAAACGAGGAACCTTATAGGCAAGAGCTGATTCTCTTAAATGCGGAGTCCTCTCAGTGAAAACAAGGGAGTTAAAAGCTTTGGGTGCAAGAGGGTGGTCCTTAGGATCCCTTTAACAGATGCCACAGCTTATGGCGCTCAGCCTTTGAGTGCAAAGGATAAGGGCTAGGTGGTCAAAAGACGATGGATATCTACTCGTCCTTATCGAAAATAGCAAATACTGGAAGCGGTTCGTCGATTCACAAATCTGTCTTCCGTCTTGAAAGACTATTCAAAGTCGAGCGAGAATAACTCAACTGTAGAACTGAACTAGCGCTGCAGAAGGGTAGTCTGCAGGTTGATACTTTTTCAGGTTTATTTCCAATAAACCTGTCGGCGGCCAACGATGCAGGTAGAACCAGCTCCTATTTGTTGGTCCGAAATGAATTAACAGTATTTAATATATCTAATTTCAGCAATGCTGATGTGGTGACAACAAAACTAGAATGCGATGCCATAGAATTGTGGCCAATCTTAGCCTATATTACAAACGATGACTAGAACAAACCAAGTCCGATATTGCTGAAGAACACCTTGAGGAGTCGCAAAAAAGAAAAAACGTCGCAGCTCAGATATTGATGATAGAGGTGAGTCACTCTTCAAATTTATTATACCTACTGTTGCAACTGCGGGCAGGGAAGAAGTACTAGTTCTCACCCTTACTATGAAAACGTGAGTGCAGTTCTGATCTCAGAGTGAAAGGTAGAAAGCAACTCCTCTGGTGGACCGAAGAACTCTCGGAAATCAGCACATTTTGCAGAAGGTTATTCAGCAAGACCCGCCGATTAAGCGTCTAGGTTCAAGCGTATCGTCGCAAGAACCTCATCTACTATCTAAATTTTCTCAAAAGATTGGTTAACCACTATACACTAATAGTACTATAATAATAAGCTTACTGTAACATCAGTTAATTTTATCGATATAGCTTAAATTCCTTTCTGAAAATAAATCTTCCGTTTATAAATTATATATGTAATATTCGCATTACAACAGAACCACTCCAAATTTTGAAGCAAACGCGGTTTACCACAAGAAGCCGACAGTAGTCCAAACGTGAAATTTAATTGTTTTTTCTTTCATTAGATCTTTATGGGAGAATGGTAATCATAAATGTTTATGTACAATTTTGTATGTCCATGTATATTCCATGAAAATATTTTCAAACTTTTGGAGTTAGTTGCGACTTGTTGGTATATAAGTTTACATTTTTGAGACCACCGTTCCGAAAGGTTTTTTAAAACAATGACTAAATTGTACTTTAAAATTTTGAAGTTTCGTGGATTTTATATTAATTTGCAAGTATAGTGTGACATTTCTATATTTCAGAGCATTGAATGGAATTAAGTTATGGTAGTAATGCAATGCAACTTGAATATTTTCAAACATGATCGTTTACATTATAGGAATTATAATCACACTTCAATCCACAGATGTGCGCTAACAAGAAATTTTAAAAACTAGTTTTTAGTCAACTTTCGTTTAAGCTCTAAAACAATTATCCTTAAGAGTATTCGATGATTAATAACAAAATCCTTTTTTAGACATAATCCAAATTTGTGAAGTAATTCACATTATTAGTTCTGATCAAATGCCGAATCACGACAAAACAGCCCCAATGGTAGTCGATGATTAATACCAAATTCCGGTATAGTTATGATCCACATATTTCTAATAGAGTTCACATTTTATTTAAAACCGTATTTACTTTAATAGAAAAATTTATTACAATAATACCAATTCTAGCACCCTGAACTCATGTAAGGGTTTCCCCTTGAGTTACACATGCTTCCAGATAATCAATTCGACGCTCCAGCGTCGACAACTTTTCATTCAAAACAGCAAGACGTGACCGGCAAGACATATCTGAAATTAAAATATATTATAAATATATTTTTTATTAGCGATATTTTTATCTAAATTTCAATGAAAACAAAGGACAATTAATAAGAAAGTTTACCAATCTGAATCTGAAAATAAAATGTCAGAAACATACCGGATGCATTACAGAACATTGTTAATTTCCTCAGCAATTGACGTTTTCGGGTAAGAGCTCTAAGTATTAATGTAAGGTAAGGTATTAATGTTTTCTCTGTTAATGCCGTGTTATAACTGAGAAGCACCGAGATTTGAAAGTTCTTATATAAACTTTATACAATTAACTGATATATGAATATTCTTAGCCCAACCCATCTTCTGTCAACGACATTTTGTTTATCTTGTGTTTTTAGTTTGCAAGGAATTAGCAATATTGCGATTAAAAAATGACAATTTAATTTTTAATTCCAGCATCGGTATTAAAAATTATATTCAAATTTTAATTTTATTTTTTAAATTGAAATTGAATTTTCATTTTTCAATCCTGATGTTACGATTCAAAATTTAATCCAACATCTTGTATTAAAAAATAAATTTTTATTTCGATGTTGGAGTCCAAGATGTTGTTTTAAAAAGTTTTAATTGAAGTTTAATCCAAGATGTTTGTTAAAAAGAAAAATTTTATTTTTTAATTTGAATGTGTAAGTTTGCCAGTACTCTTGAGAATTAATAATGAAAATGTTAATTTTAAAACAAATCCTTTTTTTAATTCTTTACTATATGCTTAGGATCATAATTTTCGTTTTTTATTTGTCAATGCGATTTTGTATTTTTAATTTTAAACCCAGTGTTTGGGGTTATTTTTTTTTTTTTGCAATCCGGTATGTGTACAAAATTAAAAAAAATGTTATAGTCCTAATGTTAATTCAATTATTTTTTTAATGCATAATTTGCAATATTGATGCGGACACACATATGCCCTCTACATAAACGCATTTTAAATGCCATGAAAAAATTTAAGCTTATTTGTCGAATAATTTAAAATACTTAAAGGAAAATGCAAAATTATGAAGAACAATAAGAGCAACACAAGAAGGAAGAGTGGCAGAAAAGCGGCCACCCTGAAAAAATTAAGAAAGGTATCACCGAAAACCGGAGCACTCTTCGCCGAATACGCGCGGGAAGAAGACCATTCCTTTACTAGCCGAAGGGCCTCTAGACGAAAAAGGGAAGATAGTCCTTCCCTCGCCGAGTTGACCCGAGAGAAACGAAAACAGCACTCGCTGAGTTGTCTCGGCAGGCCGCTGCAAAAAGGACGCATCGCGACACCAACAAGCATGAATCCGAACAACACCCGAACAAACATCGGCATGAGTTAGAGCGCCTCATCCTCTACAATTTAGCAAAAAAAGATACGAGCGGCACGAAAAACATACCGAAGGGATACTTAACGCGTCAGCAGATTAAGCGACTCTGGTCTAACCAGACGTGGCGAAGAAATGTCAGATACGACTCTATAAGGACAAACCGATCCTTGACGAGCGATCACTCCTTAGTGTTGACTAAGAAAAAAAGCCGCCAACGAGAAGTCTCCGAACGGACGACACAAGGGACCACAAAACCGAACACGAACGTCCTAGCGTCGAGGGCCTCGATGGACGGAGGTATCTCACAGGAAACACCGTCGTACAACACCTGAGGAAAAGAACGCATCAGGCAGAGTGGACCACCCAGAGAAAGGAGAAACCACTCACCGAGCAAACGATCAGGACGGTTTGAGGGCACATACTCCTCTCCGGCAAAATAAAGAAAAACCAACGCATAAAAAGCCACGATCATTACTTTAAAGGGAAAGCTACAATAATGACAAAAGCACAGAAGGCAGAGAGGACCAAAAGTTCCCAAACTAGGGCGTCCTCGCGCAAGAGACGATCCAAAAAGACAAGGACTGAGTGGAGCAGGAATTATAAGATACCTAAGAAATCTGGAACGGGGAATGAGTCCACAGTTTGCACGAGTCTAAGCAGTTAGAGCAAAAATCAGCAACAAACAGCAAAGGCTCAGCGAACGCCACTAGAGGACCAGCCTTAGAAAAGACCGCGATCAACATCTTCGACCAGACAACTGGAAAGGTCAGCTGTTCCGAAGCAACACACAATAAGGCCTGACCAGGGGCACAGTTATGCTGAAGCAATAAAAGCCGTCAAGGTGACCATGCTACTGAAGGACTTCCCAAAAGAGTTTCTTTATAAGGAACAGCTGACCTAGATCCAAGAGGCAATAATGTATGAGGCGCGGAAGAGCTGAAAAAGTCCATTATTGTTCTCGGGAGTGACAGCACAGCTGAATGGCTAGCGAAAAGAATACCCAAATTAGCCGGCTGGTTAGGCGTACACCTAACCACAAAAATCTGTGAAAACTGTGTTTGGCCTTGTTGCGAGTCTAAAACGAAAGTCTGCAAACCAATCATTGGAAGGTGCTAGAAGAAAAGAACGAAGGCACCTGTCTAAAGCCCAAAATCCGTTTCAGACTGAACACAGGTTTGGGAGTATACTTGCCAAACCGTGGAGGTCATGAAGGTGAATAGTGAACCGCAACAAGAACCCATGAAGGTTGACAATACGACAGAGCAGTGCGAAGAAGCGAACGCAGTCCAACAGGCAACAGCATCGAAGAGTACCGTTTAGCCAGCAAAAATAGGAACTGACGAAGTAATCCCCTCAACGAAGTAGCTTGAGGATTTGACAACCAGTCTATACCTGATCCTCTCGGATATTGAAGGGCAAACAGGTGAAAGGAAATGACACCGATCATCAAGATTGCTCAGTTCAACCTACACCATGCTATTGTCACCTTGCCACTTTAAGTGAAGTATCTACACCTAGCACAACATGCACATATAGAGAAGGCAGATCAACTAATACAAAGGTATTCCAACTCCCAGACATTTTAAAAAATGCAATAGACAACAAGAAGGTAGCTTTCATAGATATGGAAGAAGCATTTGACAACATCTTCCACGAGCTCGAACGGTACGGTCCCTTCGTCCTTCCTCGTCGTCCTTTCGCCCACAAAAAACCGGTTTGGGCGACAAAAAGCCTTTGTATGAACTGGGACTTACAGGCACGCTATAATTCACAAAATGACCGCGTTTATACAACCAGTATGTCTGAGATTCCAGTTGATAAAAGAGTTATTGAAGGGTATCAAAACACAACTTCTGTTATGGTTTGAGGAGCCATATCTACCAAAGGAATACTCCCTCTCCTTTCATTGATAAAACTTAACGCAATATATTATTTGGAGGAAGTGCATTTTGGATACTTCTCCGCCCATGTGTCCAGTATGTTTCGCAATAATCCACACTGCATTCAACAAGAATCTGCCCAGGCTCATAAACCAAGAATTTTTCAGCAGTGGTGCATAGACTATATGCCCTGTTTCATATCAGATGATGAATGGCTCCCTTCTTCTCCGGATTTGAATCCTTTGGATTTTTGTATATATATCGGGATATATGATGCGAAAATTAACAAATGTAAAAACTTAAAAGTGGATCAGTTTAAGCACCGTTTGCACTGAATTTGGAACGAAATTTCAGTACAGGCGGCACGTGCTAGTTTCCAAAACCGTGTGAAGTTTTTAAAAAGCAATAAAAGGCGAACGATTTGAATTAAAACAGACATAATGCAAGTCTATAGTTTAACTAATAAATAAAACAAGCTTTTATCCTAATTTTATTACACATTTGTTATTTTTGCAGAAAATTAGGTTCGAAAACCTGATTTATCTGAGCGAAATGTTAAAGCTTAACTTAAAGTTTGCTGAAAACGGAAATATTGGACAATTGCGGACTGCAAGAGGCTTATATGGTCAGATGAGACGGAAATTAACTGGTACCAATCAGATGATAAGGCATATTTTGGCATCGTCCGCAAGAATAGCTTAAGCCTGGAAATCATTTTCCAACAGGACGGCGAAAATTGTTCAAGAATGGATCCAAAACTAAATTTTCAAAATTTTCAAATGACTAGCACAAAGTCCTGACTTTAACCCGATAGAAGTTTTGTGGGCCTACATTAATCAGTAGCTAGTCAAGTTTCTAAATCCGCCTTCCAAAATGGATAAACTGTAAATTCGGGTACGGACGGAATTTAAGTCTAAGTATATAAGTGTAAAACTGTCAAATTGACTAGCAATTGGAATTGGTCTGATGTCCAACTATACGCCAGATTGTATATATTCTGCTCTGGCTAAACTCTGTGAAAATATAGTTTTTCCTCAACTCACTGCATTCTTTAAGAATATCATCAACAGCAAACAGCACGGTTTCGTCGGTGGGAGGTCCACTACCTCCAACTTGTTCCTTTATATTAATTACCTACTCGAAGCTCTAAATAACGGTCAGGCAGTTCATACCGTCTACACGGACTTCAGCAAAGCATTCGATAGGGTGGACCATCATAACAAAGTAACACACTCAGTTGGATCCACTGATACCTAATTGGAAGGTAACTTCAAGTTAAAGTTGATAGGCATGTATCTACCAAGCACGATGTGACCTCAGGAGTGCCCCAAGAATCACACCTGGGCCCAACTCTTTTTAATATTTTTGTGAACGATAAAAAAAAGCTGTAATTTTTTTGCTGCGAACTATTGTGTTTAATTTTGTAAAATTCTTAAACTTTAATTGATTTTTTAGTGATTTAATTCAATATTTAGTGATTTAACTCTGAGTTGCAAGCTAAGTATTAAATGTTCTTAAGTTTTGTGCATTATTAAAAAGTTTAAATTTGCGAATTTTTGGTGCCGCGTCAGCTTTTTGTGTCATTTTGTTTTAATTTATTCTATTTTCTCTCTTCATTTATCTCATTTACTTCTTTATTCACAGCTGTGTAGCTTGTAGCTTTTTATTTGTTCCAGTGCATCTAAAACTGCTCGCTATATTGCTTTTTCAAACTGTCTTGGTTTTGAACTTTGATAAAAAATAAAAATTACTATTATTTTTGCGTTTGTTCTTAATTCAATTTATTGTTATTAATATTTTATTAACACACTAATTTATTCTACATCCATTAAATTTTGTTTTACTTACTCTTTTATTTGATCTACATTCTTGTTGTTTATTATGTCTTGTAACTTCCCCAATTGTAACATTAAAGGCGAGTCAGATCGCTATGTTTCATGCTGGCGTTGTGATGGGCTTGCCCATATTAAATGTGCTGGACTGACAGGTAGAATCTCAAATTCTATTTTCAACTGTAAGGGATTGCGTTGGTTCTATTTAAATTGTAGATCTATTGAAATCGATCTATTTAAAGTTTATAGGGAGACACGAAATGGCTTTAACGAAATCGGTCGAGATCTTGTAACCCTCACTGAAAAATGTGGGCACTACGAAATATTGTTCAAATCTTTTAAGTGCCTGAATAATTCTCATGAATCCTCCAAACCTGCTCCTAAGCGTAAACATCCTTCCGATGAAGTAACAATTAGTTCTTCTGTACAGAAAAGAACGTGTCCGCCCAATGACCTAATAAATCTCTCTTCTCATTGCCGTCAAGGTGATAAGCCGTCAACTTCCAAAGAGCTCAATTCCCCAAAAGCTCTATCTAATAGTAATAAGTGTCACACGATTCCAGAGGATCCCCCTAATAACTTAGTAACATCTATTAAAAATTTAGTAGTTATTCCACCTAAAAGTCTATATTTATTTCTAGACTTGCCAAAGAGGTGGAGGACATTAAGTCTTACATTTCGTCACGTTTAAAAATTGATGATATCAATATCCGTATTTTTAACTTTAATTATGACAGAAGTATATCATGGTTTAAAATAGACGTACCTCTTGAAACCTTCAAAAAGATCTTAGGTAGTTCATTCTGGCCACCTGGGGTTTTTGTATGCGAATTTAAGTCTAAACTTAGAAGTATGAGGAAAACATTGTTAAATTACCAAAAGCAACCACTGATATAAAAAACTGATTGGTAGAAAGGCGCTAAGCATTTATTATCAAAATGTTAGAGGTCTTAATACAAAATTAACCGACTTGCATTTAAACAGTTCCAATTTTAATTTCCATATAAGTGGATTTACAGAAACATGGTTAAAACCTCACATTTTTGATAATGAGATTTTAAGCAGCGAATTTCAAATATTTAGATGTGATCGCCTGAACAGTATCGGTGGAGGTGTTCTATTTGCCTTACATTCCTCTATCCCATCTGAAGATGTTCTTGTTCCAGGAACCGACTCATTTGAATTTAAATGTATTAGAGTCTATGTTAATAGTTGCTTTATTTATTTAGGGTTATATGCCACCCCATTCGGACTTATCTGTTTACATGAAGCATGCTTCTTTAATAAATAGTGCTACCTCGATGGCAAATAATGCAGATTCAATAATCGTATTAGGAAATTTCAATATACCGTGTGCTTCGTGGAAAGCTTTCGATGACCATATCGTACCGATTTGCAATCGGTCATGTTGTCATGAGTTTTTCGAAAAAATGTCCGAGTTGGGTCTGAACCAAATTAATTTGATTCCGAATACATTTGGTAAATGCTTAGATTTAGTATACGTTGATACCTCTTCAAAGTATTCCGTTATTTAGAGTAATCCTCTTGTTCTACCAGAGGACTCGTATCATCCTGCTTTGGAAATATCTGTCGAAATCATGAGCAATGTACGGGATAATAATTATCAAACTTCGTGCTTCCGTACTCGGTTCAGCTTTGCAAAAGCTAATTTTAAAAAGTTTAATACAGAACTTTCTACAATATCATGGCCTAATTATTATGGTGATATTGAATTGAGTGTCTCATTTTGATAACATTATTACGAGATTATTTGAAAAGTATGTTCCAATAGTAATTGTTAATACAAGTAAAAGTAGAAGTCCCTGGTCTTCGAAATAGTTACATAAATTGAAAAACAGAAAAACTCGAGCCTTAAACATTAAAAAAAAACCGGTTCACATGTCGACTATTTTAAATATTCTGTATTGCGTCGACAATATTTTTAGCTTAACAAAAGATGTTATAATATTGTAATTACTTAAAGAAAGTAAAAAAGAATGTTGTAAGTAATCCAAAATCATTTTATGATTTCGTCAACTCCAAACGCAGGATTTCCAAATTTCCGTCCAAGATGAAATACAAATCTATCATTTCAACTGAAATTATTCTATCCAATATGTTTGCAGAATTTTTCATGTCAAACTACTGTAATAATTCTTCCAAAATTTTTTCTTGTCAGCACGTGCTGTGTTCGAATACTTTAATTAACGCTCCAATTACATCTGATGAAGACGTCCTACTTAAATTAAATAAGTTAAAACCATCTTTTAGTTACGGCCCAGACGTGATACCCTCATGCTTCCTAAAAAAAATAGTGCCAAATATATTTACTTGCCTTTGACAAGGATATTTAATTCCTCTCTTAAACACGGTATATTTCCTTCAATATGGAAACAGTCATTTATAATTCCTTTGCATAAAAGTGGATTTAGATCCAACATTGAAAACTATAGAGGTTATACCTAAATTTTTTGATCTATCTATCATCACTGACCACATAACCTTTTCGATTTCTTCGTTAATTTCTTCATCTCAGCATGAATTTCGTAAAGGGAAATCGACTCTAACAAACTTGCTTGAATTTGTAAACCATGTATCATTGGGTTTTAGGGAGCATAAGCATACGGATGTTATATACACAGACTTTAGCAAAGCTTTCGATAAAGTAAATCCCTCGATTCTCATACATAAACTTGATCTGCTGGGCTTTCAGCCAAGATTTCTTCAATGGGTAGATTCCTATCTTTATAATAGAACACAACGAGTGATATTTGAGAATACACCTTCAGATACAATTAATGTTTCTTCAGGTGTTCCGCAAGGTAGTCATCTTGGCCCGATTCTGTTCTTGTTGTTTATTAACGATATCTCTTCAGTAATATAATTCTCAAAAATTTTATTATCTGCTGACGACGTAAAGCTTTTTAAATCATACACTTCAACTGAGGAAAGGTGTCTGTTGCAAACAGACTTAAACAATATGGTTGCATGGTGTGATAGAAATGATTTGCCATTGAATCTCAATAAATGAAAGATGATGTGTTTTTCCCGTAAATCTGTGCACCACTCCTCTTATGTAATAAAACACCATATTCTAGAGCAAGTTTTTAACTATGTTGATTTGGGAGTTAATATGGACCCTAAGCTTAATTTTAGTCTTCATATTGATACCATGGTCTGGAACAAAAGCTGTCCTCAGTTTTGTTAAACATTGGTCTAAAGAATTTAGAGATCCGTATATTACTAAAACACTTTATACAACTTTGGTTAGACCTATATTGGAATACGGCTCTGTTGTATGGAACCCTAGCTACCAAATCCATTCTGACAAGTTAGAGTCTGTTCAAAAACAATTTTTACATTTCGCCTTAGCGCATTTCCGATGGGATTCTAGGGTAAGTCTACCTCCATATACTAGTCGTTTAAAACTTATTAATCTACCTACACTTTCTAGTCGTTGGGAAATGCTTGGCATAATATTCTTAGTGAAAATTTTGAATGGAAAAGTTTGCAGTTCTTTTCTCCTGTCAGAAATTAAATTTAATATCCCGGTTCGCTTTTCGAAGCAGTTTAGACCTTTACTACTAAAACCCTGTAGATCAAATTTTGAACTAAACGAGCCATTCCGCCGTATATGTCATGATTTTAATTCTCATTCCAGCACATTTGACTTATCTGACTCACTTTTCAAAATTAAAAAGACTTTATTGTTTTCTCTTAATAAATGAAAATATAACAATTTATTATATTGTAACTATAAATCTTAGCTGTTGAAATTTTTGTTTCTGTAGCTGAGCAGTTTTAGATCTCAACACTTAAAAAACTCTCTTGCCTTTTCTGACTCGGCTAATTCCGCACGTATGCGGATTGCCCCCCTCGCGCCGGTGAGCGGGAGGAAGGTAATCGTTGGGTTATTATTATTATTATTATTTGAAGATCTTCAGAACGATAACTAGTGAACAAGACACCCATGATCTCCAGAGTGATATTGAGAAACTATCGACCTGGTGCCACAAAACAAAACTAGAATTGAACATTAAAAAGTGCGTGGTCGTATCATAATCACGATCACACTCTCAAACACCAGCTAACGCAAAGGACCTGAGCATCATCATAGATAACGAACTTTCATTCAACAAGCATATTGATAAGATCACTATCCAGGCTTTCAAAGTTAAAGGTTTTATAACTAGGACTAGCAAGGATTTCACGAATTCCAACTCATTACTACGCCTTTTTTCATCTCTGGTTGTTCTAGTTTTGGAAAATGGCACCGTAATTTGGTCTCCTTTCACCGATATCGCAATAAAATTTATCGAAAAAATGCAAACGAAACTCTGTAAGAGCTTCAATAAATGTCTTAATATTTGTCTTTAAAGTCGTGAAAGACCTGATTAATGTGCCTGACATAAACAACTGTTTCGAATTCGCGCCTATGGGTCTCTCGTAAAGACGCAATAGTCTGTTAAAAACTACCAAGTAATATGTATTCAACAGCCCTCACAACCGCATTGCCCAACTCTTCAACTTTCTGCACAACGAAGTGGACTTCATTTATGGTTCGCTCAGTGCCTTCATTCCAGAAATCAAATTACGTCTATTATAATACCCCTAGTCTATTGATACTTTTTTTAATATCGATTTAAATAACTATTGATATTTTCACTCATTATCCTATTTTATAAATTCTTAATTTAGTATTACAATGTCGATTGGCGTCTTTATATTTAAATAAATAAATTACACTACTTAACAAATCTGAAAGAAAAATTTGCGACTGATGTGCTAAGACACCCGGGTGTTTGAGGTGTCCTGAATACGAATTTGAGTTCAAAATTTTTACATCACGTACAGCTATACTGATCATTTTAGTAAATGGTGGTGCTTTGACTCCAACTCCCCTTGACTACAATACGAAAAATCCCAAGTGTTAGAAAATTTTTACAATCATTTTCGGTTTTAACAACCCAAAATTGGCAAGAAACAAAATTACTGTAAACCAGTGTTATGGGAGCACTTACATTTTGCAACTAACGAAAGAAACAATTAAGTGATATACTTATGTATAATGCCGTTTATCTAAGGCAGCAACAATATATTGTACAATATACACAAAATATGCTTATACAAAAACATACAAAATAAATTTTAAAACAAGAGAAAAAACGTTTCTGCACAGACAATGAATAAAAAAACAAAACCTTATACAGTGAGATGGTTTGACTTTGAAGTGACTTATCTTCTAAACTATTAAAACTTTTGAGTTTTGAGAATAAAAATTTTCACAAAATGCTAAGCTTGCTGCTAAGCAGGGGAAAGCAGGAGATGCCAAAAGTAATGCTGCCGGTAGTGGATCAGCCAGAGAGCCTACCTTTAAGATCGACGACCCAGCGAAAGCAAGAAGCGACGCGCTGCATACCTGCTGGAGGTGGAGCTGCCGCCAACCAATAAGGAACTAGCAAAAGAGCTCCAGGAATCCATTGATTGCGCGAGAGCTGTCTTACCTAACTTCAAGCTGGAAGCGCCGGAAGTGACAGCTAAGAGACAAAGGTCAGCTGAAGAGGCTAAGCAGTCAGCCAAAAGACCGAAGACAAAAGACGTGACGCCCGCGAAATCTCTTGTTGATGTGGCCCGGAACCGCATTGTCATTGGGGTGCTGGATGAGATTGATCCCGAAGGAAAAATCCCCAAAGCCCAATGGAAGTGGGTGCAAGCCGCACTGACGAATGTGGCGTTGGAAGTGCTACTAAGCAAACCAGGCTCACCCCCGTCATGTGCGAATGCCGAATGGTATCAAGGTCAGATAAAGATGATAGCGTGTGACGACGAGAGATCGGTCCAGCTATATAAGGCCGCAAAGGCTAAGTTGGGGGAGGTCTACCCCGGAGCCAGGCTAGTAGCGGTAGACAAAAATATATCCCATCCCGACCGAGGGCAAGGGTATGAATCCAGGCTACACCATCGCAGCCGGACCAGATAATGCAGCTCATAAGAGCCTGTAACCCGAATTTACCAACTGGGGGATGCAGATTCTTCAGGGCCTTCGATGACCCCGCAGCGGAATCTGGTGTGGAGACTAAACGAGCCACAATGCAGATTCTTTTGCTTCTAACAAAGGAATCCGTAGAACCGCTAGCGAAAAGTGGCGGAGAGATCAACTACGGATTCACAAAAGTGAAGGTCATGACCTACAAGTCAGACGCCGATGGAGGAGAAAACTTGGCAACGGAATCGTAAGACGAAGTCGAGAAGATCCGGGGTTCTCGAGCGATGTAGAGAACACTGACCAAGGGAGTGTAATTCGGGGTCTGAGCTTGCAGACAGACTCTCTAAACTTTTCACTGAGAGTGAGCTTTTGAGCGACTCTCATGAAGATGCAGAGAAGACACTAATTAATGCGTCTTCTCCAAATTAATCTACACCACAGCAAACTAGCGTTTCTAGCCCTAGTTAACCGCATGGCAGAAGAACGGCCTGACTTCGTCCTCATTCAGGAGCCATGGGTTAATGGAGGGCGTATTTGCGGTCTGAGGACACCGGGGTATAATATATACGTGGCTGGCTGCGTAGGTAAGGCTAGGACATGTATATTGGCTAGTAAAAAGCTTAATGTTTTTTTAATACACAGTTACAGTAGTAACGACACTACAATAGTAGGGCTGGGAGACGGGCGGAAAGAAATACCGGCTGGCACTGCCGTATGACGAGGTAGCAGTACCATCGCAGCTGATCAAAGAGCTGGTACAAAACACCGAAGCATCCAAGTGCTTGATTATACTTGGGTGCGACTCCAACGCACACCACACACTATGGGGCAGCACGGACATCAATTAAGGGGGTGAGTTGCTTTTTAATTATTTAATAGGAAGTAAGCTTTTGTTATGCAAGAAAGGTGGTACGCCAACATTTATAACCAGAAACCGACAGCAAATATTAGATATAACACTTATATCGGAAGAACAGGTGGATAAAATAACACATTGGAGGGTACTGGAGGAACATTCCTTCTCAGATCCCCGCTACATTGAGTGTATAAGCGAAGAGAATGTAGTTAGGGAAGAGAACTTTAATAATCATAGGAAAACGAACTGGCAGCTGCACATGCAGGAGCTTAAAAAGCGTATTCCTATGATTCCACCATTTCAACCAGAGAACAAAGAGGACCTAGACATCCTCGTTAAACAATTTACAGATTCATGTCGTCTCATTTCTTTTAAAAACGCTGGAGAGACTAATAGAAATACATATAAAGGGCAAACTAAACCCAGGAAAAATGGCAGTTTCGCAGCATGCGTATTCTAAGGGTAAATCCACAGAAACAGCATTAAGCTCAGTGGTAACAGAGATTGAAAAGTCTCTGGAGATAAAAGAATACACCCTCGTAGCCTTCCTAGACATATTGAGCGTGCTTAAAGATCTGGACATCTCTGAGCCTCTCCGGAAATTAATTGAAAAGATGCTCTTGGGCAGGTCAATTATTTCAACGCTGGGAGCTTCAACGATAAGTAGATCATTCGAAAGGGGTACACACAAAGGAGGCGTGTTATCCCCACTTCTCTGGATCCTGACAATGAACAAATTGCTTGTGGATCTAGAAAAGAGGGGGGTACATGTTGTGGCTTACGCTGATGATGTGGCAGTTTCGGTTAGAGGCAAGTTCCCGAATACCCTCGCTAGCCCTTTGCAGACAATATTAATCGATGGACCGTATCATGCGGACTGAATTTAAATGCTAGCAAGACAGAAATAGTATTGTTAACTAAGAAACACAATACTCCAGAAATCCCGCCGCCATCTTTAAATGGCACCAGGCTAACGATAGGAGATAAAGCAAGCTACTTGGGACTAATTTTGGGCAGGAAGCTTTCTTGGAAACAAAACTTGGAAGCGAGGGTAAAGAAAGCAGCTACAGCGCTTTACACGTGTAAAAAAATGGTGGAGCCCAGATGGGGACTGACACCTCGGGTAGCTTACTGGCTTTACACAGCAATTGTAAGACCGATCATGACTTACGGTATATTAGTATGGTGGCCAATTTCAGGAAAGAAATATGCGATTAAAAGCATGGAAAGTATACAAAAAGCAGCCAGAATTTGCATCAGTGGAGCTCTCTCTACGCCAAGCCAGGCACTCAACGTAATTTTACACTTACTGCCAACAGATCTGTTTTGCAAGCAAATGGCAGCGAGGTCAGCTCTGAGACTGAGGGAATTCTCCTTGCTAGTCGTTAGTAACAGGGGCATTTTATGATACTTAGGAAGTTCCCGTTTCTTCCCATAACCACGGATGTTCGGAAGTCACCGCAATTAAAGAAAGCCTTCTTGTACTGACAAGGAGCGTGCTCACCACAAGGAATATATTTATATATACAAGGAATATATTTATATATACAAGGAATATATTTATATATACA